AGTCCCCCGACGTCAGGAGGAGGGGCCCCTCCGTGGACGACTTCCTGAAGGGCTCCGAGCTGGGCAAGCCGGTGAGTGCGGGCGGGCAGTGCGGGCTGGCAGCTGGGCAGTGACCACAGGAGCCTCTGGAGGTGAGGACCCCCCTGCCCCCGGAAAGATGGGGAGGTGCCAGCCCACGAGACAGCAACCTTAGTGGGTGCAGGGAGTCCGGACTAAACTGTGCTGTGCCTTTGGGACCTCATTTGGGGACAGTTCCAACGTCTGTATGGGAGCCCCCCTTCCACTCCTCCCCCGCCCCCCCCGAACCCCCGGCTCAACTGGGGCAAAACTCGTCATTGGTTGGTTCACTCTCGGTAACTGGGCAACGTTTGTCGGGCATCTGCTATGTGCTCAGCATCTCAGGAGACTCAGAAATAACCTCCAGTCACGGAGCCTTGCACACGGAGGCCTTGCACACAGGGGCCTTGCACACGGGGGCCTTGCACACAGAGGCTTTGCACACGGGGGCCTTGCACACAGAGGCTTTGCACACGGAGGCTTTGCACACGGGGGCCTTGCACACGGAGCCTTGCACACAGAGGCTTTGCACACGGAGCCTTGCACACGGGGGCCTTGCACACGGAGACCTTGCACACGGGGGCTTTGCACACAGAGGCTTTGCACACGGGGGCCTTGCACACGGGGGCCTTGCACACGGGGGCCTTGCACACGGGGGCCTTGCACACGGGGGCCTTGCACACGGGGGCCTTGCACACGGGGGCCTTGCACACGGGGGCCTTGCACACGGGGGCCTTGCACACGGGGGCCTTGCACACGGGGGCCTTGCACACGGGGGCCTTGCACACGGGGGCCTTGCACACGGGGGCCTTGCACACGGGGGCCTTGCACACGGGGGCCTTGCACACGGGGGCCTTGCACACGGGGGCCTTGCACACGGGGGCCTTGCACACGGGGGCCTTGCACACGGGGGCCTTGCACACGGGGGCCTTGCACACGGGGGCCTTGCACACGGGGGCCTTGCACACGGGGGCCTTGCACACGGGGGCCTTGCACACGGGGGCCTTGCACACGGGGGCCTGTAAGCTTTCTTTGGTCGCAGTGAAGGTTCGTTTTAGTTTTTTCTTTCAACGGCTGTGCCAACCCCAACCTTCCTACCCCGGAGCCACTCGGCCGACCAGGGTGCAGGCAGCCGGGGCAGCGCCCACAGCAGGTCCCCAGGCCGGTTGGTCTCTGGTTCTGCCAGGTGTCGTCTGATGGGAGTGTCCTCAGATGGTCCTGTCCCTCCCAGACCAGCTGTGTGTGCGTGTGTGCGCGTGTGTGTGTGCATGTGTGTGCGTGTGCGTGTGTGTATGTGTGTGTGCGTGCTCAAATAATAGTTTTAATTTGGGCAAATTTTTAAATCACTCAGTAGAATTCACTCATTCAATAAGTGCTCTCAGCCCGGTTGGCATGGCTCAGGGGCTGAGCATCGACCTATGAACCAGGAGGTCACGGTTTGATTCCCGGTCGTGGCACATGCCCAGGTTGGGGGCTGTCATGAAAGACAAGGAAGGTGCTAGAAACAGAACCGGCGGGCGTCGCGGCTGGAGAAAATGTCTTCGTGCCTTGGGCTCGGGGTAAGGGGAGCCGGCTGGCTTCTGTTTCCTCTTGCATTTTCTTGTTTGCGGAAGGGCGCCCGGGATTGCTTTCCGCTGACCTGTTTTGAAGATTGGTTTGAGAGAGGAAGGGAGAGAGGGGGAGAGAGAGAGAAACATCCACGATGAGAGAGAATCATGGACCGGCTGCCTCCTGCACACCCCACACTGGGGATGAGCCCACAACCCGGGCCTGTGCCCCGACCGGGAATCGAACCCTGATCTCCTGGTTCCTGGGTCGACGCTCAGCCGCTGGGCCGCGCCGGCCGGGCTCTGTGTGTTCCAGACCACAGGCTGCCATTTAAATCTGAAATGCCTGGAAAAGGCCATAGACACCCCCTCCCACCACCCTCCACCCTCCGTTTCCCGTGCCCGCACCTCCCGCCACCTGGGCTGCTCCCCGTGGCCCACGTCTTTGCCCAGCCGCCACGTCGGAGCTGCTGGTGGCACCGGGAGAGCCGTTTCCCAGCCCCAGCATCCTGCTGCCCGAGCCCACGGTCTGGGTGCCCGTGCCCGTCCGGG